AAGTGACATGTCTTTCTTTTTTTTTTGCTAAAAATAAAGGAGATATGCAAATGGTTTGTGGATCATGAGATCAAAATCCAAAAGACACGCTATCCATGTCTTTCATGTAAAGGCCTTTCTAGGCTTAACCTTTGCACCTCTGCTTTCATTATCGACTTGTTGTTGCTCCCTGGCGATCTCACTTATGCCGTTACCTTCCTCGCCTCCCTACCACTAAGGCATTCCCGGTTTGACCCCTGGTGAACAGTGCTCGTGTGACCTCTAGGGTCATAAAAGCTGAAAAGCTAGCCAAAGAATGACAACGAAGAAAGGAAGCAAGGGATATTAGCTTAGGCATAATGATGACCGGTGGAGGAGATCGAAGAGAGGTATGCTCTTAAATATAATCTGATGTGCGTGTAGAATTGTGTTTGGCTCTTATAGTCAAACTAGATGAAAATAAAGGTAAAATCCAAATCCTGCTTGGTTAGAAAAGTTGCAACTATTTGCAAAAAATGGTGAGAAAATTTGCAATTGTATGCGCGCGCGCTCACACACACAAGCTAGTTGTGTATGAGTTGTCTTTGGAAATCTTCTTCCAAACCTAATCGTGTAGGTTGATTGACGAGGAAATGGTTGTAAAGACTAATGTGAGAAACTAAGTGTCATACTACATATAGCCCATGCTTCGTGAGAGAGAAAGAGACGGTCAAGGTAGACAACCTAGAAACCCTAGCCGCCACCCAACGCCTTTCCCTCTCGCTGTCGCTAGGGCGCATCACCGGGCAAAGCACGTGCATGCTGGGAATGATGGGGAGGTCCTAATTTGGGCAGCCCACTGAGGAGATTATGGAGGGCTGCTGCTGGCGCTGAAGGAGATGAGGGCTCGAGTGGTGGTCTTTGTCAGGTGATCCTCGATGGCAACGTTAGTGAAGTCAGAGGTGGCTTAATGGATATAGCCCGGTGATCTTCAACGGCGGTCTGACCTGGCTAGGTTATTCATGGAGAGGACGGCGCGGTGCATGCTCTTGGACGGAGTTCGGTGGCATATACAATTTGTCTTGGGTTTTCTTTAGGGAGTATTCATGTTTGGTCTGAGATCGTGATACAAAGGCGCCTTGGTGTAGGAATACTGTCCTCCCCGCTCTATCCCCGTTCCGTGTGTGAGCTTATCACCGATGGAGGGCGTATGGAGTTGTGACTGGCGGGTCTTTCGGGATATGGCCAATCTATGTTTATGGTGGATCCAACTGGATTTTGGCCGGGTTTCGTGGTCTTTGGAGTTTCTACTGGTCCTTACTAGCATTTTTTCCTTGGGCAACAATTCGCTCCGCGGATGGCGTCTCCTGGTCTGCAACGACGATTTTCCATTTGCTGCCTCTACAAACTTTTGGGTTTAAAAAAGTTTTCTTCGTTGAGGCGGAGGCTCAAGGCTGCATTGAGTTATGCTCATGGCGCTGCCGGTGCATGCTGGAGGAAGAAGACTTCGGCACTATCATGATTTTGATTGTAATTTTATACTCCCTCTGTTTCTTTTTAGTTCGCATATAAGAATTGGTCAAAGTCAAACTTTCAAAGGCAAACTTTGTAAAGTTTGACAAGCTTTGTAGGAAAAGATATCAACATTCATGATATGAAATTAACATTATTAGATGAATGATGAAATTAATTTTCATGACATATAACTTTAGTATTGTAGATGATGATAATTTTTTTCTATAATGTTAGTCAAACTTTGTAAAATTTGATTTTGACCAAATCTTATATGCAGACTAAAAAGAAACGGAGGGAGTACAAAGATGTGTTTGTAAGCCTTTTCGCAACAAAAAAAACTTATACTCATTTTTCTGTTTTCGTTAATGTACTCCCTCCGGTCATTTTTAGTTTGCATATAAGTTTTGTCCAAAATAAAAGTATCTCTACTTTGACCAAACTTATAGAAAAAAGTATCAACATTGATAATTCTAAATTAGCATTGTTAGATTCAGCACGAAATGTAGTTTAATAGTATATATATTTGATATTGTAGATGTTAATATTTTTTAATATAAAATTGGTCAAACTTTGTAAAGTTTGACTTGACACAAATCTAATATGCAAAGTAAAAAGGACCGGAGGGAGTACGATGCATGCCACGTCAAAGGAGAGGGAGCGGTCGGGAAAAACGTCAAACGGGAGGATTGGGACCGGGTCAACTTGGGGAAAACCTACGCCTCGTGATCCGGAAACCGATGAGCGACCCGCGCACGCATGCACTCCTATGCAACCGGAAGTCTCCGCTGAACCGGCAGGTAAGCGGAAATGTCAAGGATGCCGATGACGCAGCGCCGTGCATGTCACTGCTGACAGCAACGAGGCGACGTCATCGGTGAGAACTAAACAAAATGCCAAGGCATCCAGCTCGCGGCGCCCAGAAAAACGGCCGCAGGTAGGTGTCCTTCCGTCTAGAGCGGCGATGCTGATTCATCGGAGGTTGACGATGGC